GTGGAAATTTAACTCTGGACCTTTGCACTTAAGAAGCAGGCCGTGGCACCCCTGAGCTAAATCCCTGGCTGGAGACAGATTTTTAACATAGTCATAGAGATAATGCTAGACGCCACGGAAAATTGAAAATTAAGAGGTTTGTGCTTCTATTTGCACAGACTGGGAATTATGATGAAGTTTAGAGGACCAGAGAAAATGAATTTATAAATCATAAACTAGGTTTGGAAATACAAGCGAACAAATAGGCTGTGATCAAACAACATAGCTGGCAGCAGTGCTGTCTCATCAGAGCTGGCAGAAAACATTAGCAATCCTGCTCTGTGTTCCATTCCAACACCCTCTGCTACACTGCCCAGGGCATGGTCATAATTTTCATTTATTTCTAAAAGAAAAGAAAAGAGATAACAAAGCCCTAGAAGCTTTTAGGCCAACACAGAAAGAATAAACGACTCATAAACTTTTACTGATAACCAGAATACAAAATTTCTAACTGAATGCAGGTGACAGGAGCTTCAAGATGGCTCTCGGTGATGGAACAAGGCGAGCTCCTCCTAGAAGAGTGTTGTCATTGTCCTTGGATGTCATGCTCTGATTCCTCATTTTCTCATTATCTTGTCCACAGCACAAGCTGGCCCAAAGCATAGCCCTATGGGAAGAGACAGGAGCGTGCTCTTGGGGTGAGGATGAGCTCTTAGTAAGAGGAGCCTATAGCTTACTAACAATAATTCATCACATTTGCATAATACGTCATTCTTTATCAAGCGTCTTCATATTCCATATCTCACTGAATATTCAAAATAACCCTGAGGTAGATTCAAAAAATTTTATTACCTCCAGTTTATAAATGAGGAAACTGGAGCTCAGAGGCTCCCAAATCGCTTTGTACAACCCTTCTCTTCTTGTTTGGTTGGTTAGAGTTTTACGACTTTTTTTTTTTTTTCCTAAGTCAGGATCTTACATGTTGCCCCGGCTGGCTGCAAACTCTTGGGCTTGAGCAATCCTTCTACCTCAGCCTCCTGAGTGGCATGGACTACAGGAGTGTGCCCAGCCCAGTGGTTTTACTTTTACGCTTCAGTATCTTCAAACGTTTTCCATTGCCCCACAGGAAAAAATCCAAGCCTCTGAGCATAGCACGTAAGGTGTCTCTATCTCCATCCACACCACCCAATACAAATTTAAGGTGAACCATGTATGAAAGTTTTAAAACTTCTAGCAACCAAATTAATAAAGTACAAAGAAACAGGTGAGATTAAGTGAATAATATATTTTAGTTAAGCCAATATTCTTAAAATATTTCAACCTCTAATAATCGTATGTGGGAAAGATACTTTGCATTTTTTATACTAAGTCTTTGAAATTTGTTGTGCATTTTATACGTATAGCGGACTAGCCACATTTCCCAGGCTCAGCAGCTATGTGTGGTGAATGGCTACTGTATTGGACAGAAAAGCCGTCCCCTCCTCTAGCCTCATCATGGAACCCTTCACACACACCTGCTCCAGCCACACATACCAACCACGTTGCATCATCATATTTCTGAGCAAATGCATTACTTTTTCTCTGCATGGTCTTCAATCCTACTTCTAAAGTCTACCAGCCCACATTTCCCCTCATCTGTGAAGCCTTCTCTAATACTCATAGGCTAAATTAGCCCTCTCCCTCCCTCCTTTGCAACCTCAAAGAACCCTTACCATTATGACAACATATTATTGTGCTTTGAACATGTGCCATTTCCCCTAGAAAATGATTCTCTTCCTGTCAGTACTTAGCATCTAAATGTGACCAACAGTCAGGTGTGGTGGTGCACGCCTATAATCCCAGCACTCAGGAGGCTGAGGCAGGAGGATTGCTGTGAGTTTGAGACCAGCCTGAGCTGCATAGTGAGTTCCAGGTTGGCCTCAACTACATAGTGAGACCCTGTCTCAAAAAACCAAAACAAACAAACAAATAAATGTGACCAACATATTTTTAAAATATTCTATTTGTACATTTAGATATATAATACAGTTACATTCATCATTGGGATCTTGTACCTTTACAGGACATATCTTGGTTCTTATTTTTTCCCCTTTCCCTTATCCTCCCTTCCCCCCTCCACCCTTCCCTATTTACAAAGACTTTGTTTCCATTTTTTTCCTTTTATCTTATTTTTTCTCCTTCCTTTTTACCTTTTCCCAACCCCTCCTACTTGCCCACTACCTTTAGACCTTTTCTTCCTATTACAAAATATCAATTATACATTTTGACCCTTATTTACACTTTTAGTTTATCACACCAGAGAAACTATACAGTATTTACACATGTGTCCTATTAATGTCACTAAAGAATATGTCCTTGGGCTGGGGATTTAGCTCAGTGGTTCTGCCACCTGCCTCGCAAGTGCAAGGACCCAAGTTTGATCCTGGTACCAAGAAAAAAAAAAAAGAATATGTCATCAATATGCATCCACTTAGCTATAAATACCTCTAGTTTCTCGTTCTTTATGGCTGAGTAGTACTCCATTTTATTTTTTAAAAACCCACATCTTCTTTATCCAGTCTCCAGTTGATGGGCAATTGGGCTGTGTCCAAGTTTTAGCTATTACAAACTGTGCCACTGTAAACATGGGTGAGCATATATCACTGTGGTATGATTCTTTTAATTCTTTTGGAAAGATACCCAGCAGAGGAATAGCTGGGTCAAATGGGGACTCTAATCCTAGTTGTTTAAGTTATCTCCATATTGATTTCCACAGTGATTGCACCAGTCTGCACTCCCACCAACAATGGAGAAGGGCTTCTTTCTCCTCACAGACCTGCCAGCATTTGTTATTGGTTGATTTCTTGATAGCAGCCATTCTTTCTGGGGTGAGGTGGAATTTCAGTGTTGTTTTCATCTGCATCTCTCGAATGACCAGTGATGTGGAACATTTTTTCATATATTTATTTGCTGCTTTTACTTCTTTGAGAAATGTCTGTTCATTTCAGATGCTCATTTTGAATTAATCCTTTTATTTGGGGGGCATGATTTTTTTGAGTTCTCTATATATTTTAGATAGCAGATGTTGTCTGAAAAACATCTGATAAAAATTTTTCCTCCACATTGTAGGTTGTCCCTCAGCTCTGTTGGTGATTTCTCTTGCAGTGGCCAACATATTTTAAATTTTAAAAATGAATAAATGAGTTTATGTGCCTTTTATCACATGGGCAAGCGGGTGATGCAAATATTTTGTTTTTGATTTTCCCTTTGTGCTTTAAGGACATTATTCAGTCCTTAGTCATTCCTCTGATAGTTTGTGAGCCATCAGAAGTCTCGGTTGTTGGCACTCTGATACCCTTTGGTGGATGCCATCTCAAGCCTGCAGTCATTTCACCTTAGTGAGGATTGTCTAGTTTTGTAATTCACCATTGCTTAGTCTCCCAGGTAAAAACCATGAATTTGCGAGAAGTTTTGTTTTGTTTTGTACCAGGGATTGAACACAGGATCTTGGGCTTGCAAGGTAGATGATGGCACCACTGAGCTAAATCCCTGGCCCCTGTGAGAAGTATTTTTGTTGGTTTCAATGTCAGTTCAATGTCAGTGATGCTTTACTGTGATTATCAGGACAATATTGTTCACAGCATTCACTGTTTGTGGGGTTTTTGTTTATATTGTTGAGACAGGGTCATGCTATGTAGTTCAGGCTGGTCCTGAATTCACTATGTAGCCCAGGCTGGCCTCGAACTTGTGGCAATGCTCCTGCCTCAGCCTCCCAAGTGCTGGGACTACAAATGTGTGCCACCATGCCTGGCTACATTATTCACTACTTATAGTGAATATTTATTGAGTGCTATGTGCTGGTGCTATCCTTAGAGTGCTACATGTATTAATCCTTGTAAGCCTTATAACAAACATATGAGGTTGGTGTTCTTAGCACTTTGCAGATAAACTGAGGCACAGTGAAGTGACTTGTTCAAGGTCATACTGCTAATAGCTATCTCCTCTTATCACCCAAATTCATTCTTATTCATTCTTTGCTTCACTTTCCTTTTACTTTCTGTTAAGTCTTCACCATCTTAGCACATCAATACATATATTTTCAGTGTTTGTATTTTTCTTTATTACAGTAACCTGCTCTGGAAGTACGCTTGGAATGGGTAAGTCATTTGTCTCATAAATAAAGCAGAAGGGACTTTTTGTTCTTGAGTTCTGGTGTTACTTAACAAAGTCAGGGTGAACACTGATGTCACAGTTAGTGAGAAAGATAAATTATTTCTTTCTTTGATGCAAAGGCACTCTGCATACCCATTCATACCTTTTTCTCCTCTCTTTTAGTGCCACCCTCAGATTCCACTGACCCGTATGAGTTCCTTGGAATTCTGAAGTCTTTTCAGTTTTCTGGGATCCTACAGAAAAAAATGTAAATTCCTTAATCCCTCCTACTTCAGAAGGGGAGAATTTAAAATCACCTGGGTCCTGGGTTCTGTCCCTGGAAAATCTTTTTCTCCAGTTCTGAGCCCAGGGTCACTCTACCACTGAACTACACTTCTAGTCCCTTTTTATTTTTTATTTTGAGACAGGGTCTCACTAAATTATCAGGCTGTACTCATGCTTGTGATCATTTTGCCTTAGTTTGCCAGAAGGCCGGGAAAACAGGCATGTGTCACCATGCCTCACCAGGCATCAGGATGTTTTAAAGCTCTTCTGGTGACTTTATAAGGCAGCCAAGGGGGATAATTACTACTGTAGAGCAGGACTTCCAAAGTGTTTTGTGCTTACAAACCACCCCAGCCTTGTTGAAACTAGATTCTGCTTTGGTAGGTGTGGAAAGGCTTGAGACTGCATTTCTAACTGGGTCAGAGCAGTGCTGGTGATGCTGATACTACTGGTCTGGCCACACTTTTAGTAGTCAGGTGTGAGAGGGACTCTATTAATCTGGTGAGAGCTAGGATGTTTGCTTCTGGTTTGCAGGCGTGGGTGTGCCCAGTGGAGGAGGAAAAGGGGTGCAGAAGGGAGTGAAAATAACCCTCAATGTCTGCTCAGTTTTGCTCAGGCTGATCCTGTTTAGCCACTTTTGGTTGCTGCCACAGATTGTTCTTGGGCCAAGGAGTCAACAGGACCAAGAAATAGCATATGCACTTCATGAGGAATCCGTGTCCCACTCCTCTAGGGAACAGTGTGGTCTGGAGCCTTAGAAAAATCCGAGGGAGTAGGATCAATCCAAAACTACAGAACTTGCCCTGCAACCAGGCAAACATGGCTGACTTCAGAGGGCATGTGAGGAGATGAAGTCTTCCTTCCAGCAAACCCCAGCTGCCAGCCTATGTGTGGGGCAGCTCCCTACCCAGTGCCTCCTTCCATAGACAGGGCCTGGGTCTGGAGTGTGTCCCAGTGCACTGCCTGGGCTCTGTCGGGGTTCCTTTCCTCTCCCAGTCCAATGCACCTCTAAACACAGCAGGACGCATATTTTCCAATTTCTGCTCCACCAACCCCCCATCCCACCTGCGGGCCTAAAATAAGCACAATACCCGATAATGTTTCAAGAGTTTTTGTTTCCAATAACTACAGGAAAACAGACATGGCTTAGAGAAAACAAACTGAGGAAACTTCTAGTTCTATAAAAAAAATTACTGGGCCAAGGATTTAGCTCAGTGGTACTGCCACATGCCTCGCAAGCACAAGGTCTGGAGTTTGATACCTGGTACCAAAAAAAAATTACTTTAGGAGCTGGGGTTGTTGCTTATCAATAGAGCTCCTGCTCAGCATGTGGAAGACTCTGTGTTTAAGAACCAGTACCACCACCACCAAAAAAAAAGAGTTAGCTTTAAAAATCTCCCAAAGTTCTAGTTCTATTGATCATGAGCCCTGGTCATCAGAGAAAGGTACACAGACTTATATCTGTGTTCTTAGAAACTATTTTCAGTATTGTTTGTTTTATTTTGCAGTGCTAGGACTGAGGGTCACTGCCACTGAAGTAAATCCTCAGCCCTTTCATTTTTTGATTTTGAGAAAAGGTGTTGCTAAGGTGCCTAGAGTAGCCTTGAACTTGTGATCCTCTTCCTCAGCCTCCTGAATAGCTTGGATTAGAGATCTACCCAACTTCATCCAGTCTATGATTGTTTTAAAAGAGTCTTACCCAGAGTTAGAGCAAAAAGGTAGAAATATCTTAGGGCCTTTAGCAAGAGAGGGATGTATAGTATCTATTGATCTCCCTTTCTTTTGTTAAAAGAGTTGCAATGCTTTAAATACAAACAAACAAACAAAAAAACAAGCTAGAAAAACCATTATTCCTTGACCTTGCTACTTAACTGTGTCACTAGAGAGCCTGTTAAAAAGGTGCAATCGGCTGGGGATTTAGCTCAGTGTTTCAGTGGCCTGCCTTGCAAGCGCAAGGTCATGAGTTCAATCCCTGGTACCAAAAAAAAAAAAAAAAAAAAAGGTGCAATCTCGGGCTCTGGCCTGGCCTACTGAATCCTCAAGTGATTTGCATGTGTGTTCAACTGTGTGAAGCCCTGCTTTGGTAGAGCTTCTCAAACTCTGGTGTGTATCAGAACCTCCTGAAAGGCTACTAAAGAATGCAGAGGCCCAGGCCATATCCTGCCAAAATGCTTCTGTATCTTTCTATCCGGTTTGTGAGTGATTTGGATCTACAAAATATTAGAGAAGTCTGCCTCAGGTCACAATTTCCCCTATTCTCTCGTTTGGGGCTGCAGCTTATCCTGGCTCTTCCCTTCCTTAATCAGCCTCTCTCAAAGGAGATACTTAAAGAAATCCTGCAAGATTCTCAAAAACTGAGTAAGCCAGGTCACTTGAGGGCCTCTATAGTTATGTAAAATCACTGTCTACAAGAGGGAGTTCTGAATTGTTGTTTCCAGTTTCAACATCTCCTTTCTGTACATAGCAGAAGTCAGATCAGCACTCTGGCTGAAAGGGGACCTAAGGCTATGCTCAAGGAAGCTGTGGAAATCTTCCTGGCCTAAGACTTTTGGTCTTCCTTGACTATTTATTTATCCTAGACTTGTTACCTGCATGAATTGACTGTCTAAGAAACAAATCTGGATTCAAATCCTAATAATATCATTTGCTCTTAGTTAAATTGTCTCGATTTTCTCTAAGCCTGGGTTTCCTCATCTGAAAATTGGAATAATAATCACTTCATAAAATGTAATGAGAACTACATGGACACAATGACAGGCCTGTAGTAAGTAGTAAATGCACTGTAAATTAATTATTATTAATTGAGGATAAATTTAATTTCACATCATACTCATATACCATTTATAACATTTTAATATGCTACTTCTAACCAAGGTGTCTACATTTTAACCTCAGCTTCCATAATAACATAGCTTATTAGTTCTCAAAGCGTTATTTGGGAGCTGCTTAGAAATGCAGTTTCTGGGGCTCCACCAAAAACTACTGACTCAGAAATTCTGGAGATGGGGCCCAGCCATGTTTGTTTTAACACGGCCTCCAAGTGATTCCAACACACCCTAAAGTTGGAAAACCATAGCTCTAATTCAGGAAAGCTATTTTGATGCTGGAGATTTGATGCAGGTTGAAAGGGAGAGGAAAACAATCTCTCCGAGGTGATGGGTGGGGGCATTCGTGCCTGATGTCGCTCCATGGGGTATTCTTCACCTTCAGCATTCAGTCTGTCTCTTATCTGCCCATCTCAGGGAGCTTTGAGGAAGTTGCCTCTCTGAAATTTCCTTAGCAGGTGAACAGGTTTATGATTCCCCTGAACAACTTACAAAATGTCAGAGCTCCATGAGGAACACAGCAAATTGGTCTGCGGATGGAAAGGAAAGGTTCTTATCCCAAGTCAGTAGTCTGAGTTCTGGCACTCTTTCTTTCATGAAGCAAGACAGAGATCACTCTGGTTAGTCTGAAACTGCTGGTCAGTAGGAACAACCACCCTTCGCACAATTCAGGTTGTCTCATTTTCCTCCTCACTTGCACGAAATGCTGCATTTCAAAGCAACACACTAATAAAATCTCAGTGACATTTCCGCTTTTTAGTTTAAGAAAATGTCTGCATATGTAATGCATCTTGCTGCCTCTTCCCTTCCTTGCTCTTTCCAGTGATTTACAGAGGGAAGAGCAATGCAGAATGACACAGCAAGCCCCAGATAAAAACAGAGTTGACCAAGTAAGTAGTAGCAATGTAACTTCATTTTGTGTGATTCCATAGGGAAATGCTGTCTTCACTTTAAAAAATTCTTCCCATTTCTTTTGCAGACTTGTCTCAGTTGTTAGTAAGTAGAGATGGAAAACATTTACTAGAATATAAAAATGCTTCTAAGATAGCAAAGATTCTTTTGTCCTCGAGGAGGGTAAGTGACTGTCCCTCCTGATGGCAAGATCAGGTGTGTCATCACCTACCAAGGAGTTCAAGCTCAGCTTCAGAGAAGACCCTAGAGAAATGGATCCAGAAAGTCCTCTGGAAGCCGGCCAGAGGGAGTCAGCACAATGTCAGAGCCCTGGAGGCAGAAAAACTGCTCAGCAGCAATTCTGACATTTAACATCCAGAAACACCGTAGACTTCAACACACCCACTTCATGAGTTTTTCATCAACACCAGCACTTGGTGCACTGCGCAGGCCCCTAGCCATTCAAGGCTGGAGATGTGCACTCTTAGAGAAGTCCAGCCACCCGCACCAGGACAGGGCTCATCCTGAGACACACCTCTGCCAGGACTTCAGCTTAGGCTGCTGCCGCTGTCAGGGCAACCTGTGCTAACAAATGCCCATTCATTGCAAGTTAGCAGGGAAGCTGAGCTGCCTGCGGTTCTGACCAGCCAAAGTGTTACATGATTTGACGCCTAAGGGAGTGTCTGGGAAATCATTGCTAGAAGGATTGCAGTCGGGCTTTCTGAATGATCAAAAGTGTCAGATGGAGGGACAGCCAAAGGTCTGCCTTGAATTGTGACAGTGACACACTCACGTCTTTTCCGGGAGAAGGATCATCAATTCTGGTGGCTGTGTTCCCCCTCTCCCACTCACACTGTAGTGCTTTTTTCATCTTTGGAGAGGAACATCAGTGATATATAGCATAAATCTGTTGTATCTAGAAAAAATGTTTGTCCTTCTAATGCTAGGAACCTAAGTAAAAATAGTTTGAGTGGTACTTTTGCAACACACACACACACACACACACACACACACACACACGCATACATATACACACACAGCTATGGTGTTTATTCCTCCCAAAGCATAGCTATGAAACCAGGGATGTCTGTGGTTGGCAGGTTGGCATGGAAACAGAGCTAAACTTCCCTTCTTACATCTTCTTTCCTTTCTGAGATATCAAACTGTTCTCCAAGAAAGAAGGTGATGTGGTGCTGACAGATCTTCCCCAGAGCATCTGCACTTGAAAAGGAGACAAACCAAAGGCACTGATCCCTAATAGTGGAATCTGATGCACCCAAGAGCACACTCAGTGGAGGGCTGTGCTTCACTTACTTTTATTCCTAAACACTGGTAAGTGAACAGGAGTTGTGTTGGGCTAGGTACATCAGCATCACTCTGGAGAATCCATTTTTCACATAGATTCCTGAGCATTACCCCCTGGAGATTCAAATTCATGTCTGGGACCAGGCCTGGGAATCCATTATTTTTAACAAGTTCACCAAGTGATTTTGACATGCAGCTGGATTTGGGAACCTTTTCCCCTTCAATGGTGGACATTAAACCCGGGGCTTCATACATACTAGGCAAGCACTCAACCACTGAGCTGCATCCCCAGGCCCAGGTTTGGGAACCTTCAAGGGTTTGCCTCCCAATGCTCTTCCTTGAAGCACAATGTCACTGATGGGAGGCTAAGAAGCTATAGAGACTTCAGAGAAAGTCCACCCCTCTAAGGGCAGCCCTGATGGCTAGAACTCAGCTGCATCATGGGGTGTGGTCCAGGGCCCATGTGAGACTGTGTCTGAGCTGCTGGCAAGATGCACCCTCTGAATGGAGCTGTGGCCATGTTTAACTGGAAGAGCCAAAGAACCCAGGCAAAGGGCAAATGGAAGGCCAGAATCTCTGGTCCCAGAGGGGCCATCTGCTTAGCAGGCATCTAAAGGTGAACTACTTTGGTTAGAATTCCATAGAAGACAGAGTGGTCCACCCTGGATGAGGATAAAATTAATTTAGTTAACATATGATTTTAAAATGAGAAGGGAAATAGTATGTGCATTTATTTAAAATGCTGAGCAACTGAATCTATTTAAAGTAGGTTTAAGGTAGGCCAGGGCTCCAGCTTCTATTCCCATATAAACCTCAAACTAATAATACAGTTTGTGGCTATTAAGGTTGTTTTCATTCTCCATTCTCCTTTTCTTTCCTAGAAATTGCAGGTCATCCCACAAACTGCTCCACTGTGTGGGCCATGCTTGCTCCTGTTCCTACTCTAGCACTAGCTGTGCATCCTTGGCAATAAATTTAGCTGCATTGTCTGTTTCCTTCTTATCTGTAAGGATTGCTTTGAGGATCAATGAGATTATCCAGTTTGCATGGTGATAGCAAATAATAAGCCCTCAGTACTACATATTATTAGTGGTAGTTGTCACTGACCATTTCCACTGAGTGACCAACTTGAAAGTTGAGAACTATTGCCCTTCTAAGAATGTCTTAATTTCTAGGAATGTCTAATTTCTGCCAGTGTACCAGCTGGTCACGTCATAGGGCTGTCAGCAACTAAACTGATCTAATTCGTGATTTATATACTTAATAGTATATCCCCAAATAACTCTCTAAATTGATCTCTGCCTTAATTAGGTCTGAGCTCAAAACACCTCCTCTGTTAATCGGCTTTCAACAATAATTGTGGATCTTAAAGTATTGATAGCCCTTTCTATACGTTTGTTGCACACACTTGTTGAATAATGGTTTTTATTGGCTAATTTACTGTATATTGTATCAAGGTATCCACTTTTTCAACCAATTGTTTGACTACCCACAGCAAGCTAGGTACTGTGCTTTATTAATTAGACTATGAACTCTTCAGGGGAAAAAGTGTCTCTGATTTGAATTTCCTAAAAGCTCAGCACACAATTCTGGGGACGCTGAAGGGTACTTCCTAGTTCTACACAATTATCGTGTCTTTGAAAAATGAAGAAACTTTTAGTGGAAAAAGTATTCATTCTTTCATAAAGCGAAGGCTCCTGGTTTCCTCGTGTATGCTCCTGGTTTCCTCGTGTATGTGTAAATTCATAATTTTGTCGACTGCATCAGTCAGTTCACAACCTGCGACTCATCTCTGCTTTCCGATGCCCCCGGACTTCGAACCTCTGGCCACATTATCCTCCTGCAAGGGGGCGCCCTAATTCTCATGAATATTCCGCCTGTACTGCGCAGCCTCCGTCCAGGCGTAGGCGGCACCCTCCCCACGCTGACGCGCGTGACGTCACCAGAGGGCGAAGTCGGCGGAGGGGCGGGGCCTTTCCGCAGTCAGGGGCGGGGCCACCGAGTGCGACTTCGGGGGCCAAAGTAGGTTGCGAGTAGGAGGTGGTGGCTGCTATTCTACAGCGCTGGGAAGATGGCGCCGCTGGTGACGGAGCGGGGTCTGAAGAGCGTGGTGTGGCAGAGTGAGTGCGGTGGGGTTGGGGGCTGAGAGAGGAAGTCGGCGGAGGGGCGGGGCCTTTCCGCAGTCAGGGGCGGGGCCACCGAGTGCGACTTCGGGGGCCAAAGTAGGTTGCGAGTAGGAGGTGGTGGCTGCTATTCTACAGCGCTGGGAAGATGGCGCCGCTGGTGACGGAGCGGGGTCTGAAGAGCGTGGTGTGGCAGAGTGAGTGCGGTGGGGTTGGGGGCTGAGAGAGAGAAGACTGGAAGGCCGCCGCGGCGGGCCTTGTTTTCCTGCTCCAGCCCAGCAGCCTCTTGGGGAGCACGGGGATGTCTCCCCACCCGGACAATCTGGGCTTTGTGTTTCTCTATCCTGCCTCCTCCTCCTCCTCCTCCTCCCACACTTTGGAGTTTCCAGAGGCTGCTTATTCGTGTAATCAAGGAAGATTCTACTACCATACGTTTGTGTCCTTTAAAAAAACACTTTAAGTGTTTAACACTTCACTGTTAAAGAGGCCCATCTTCCACTACTCCTAGAGAAGCGTACTAGCTAAAAAGTTCTTGAGAAGGGACCATTTTAATGATCAGATGTCTAGCTCTGACAGCTCCGTGCATAGCCAGGGCGAAGCTAACCTTCACCTTTCCCTTACACTGGGGCCACTCCCTGCTGAAAGATCATGCTACTTGTTGGTTTCTGATGTTCTGACTTTCATAAAAATTACTCCAAACCTAGGCCTGGCAGATTAGGGACGGAATGAAACCGCCAAACAGGAAGAACCATCATTGTTTGGCATTGCTGTGTTGAAAATAATTATAGTCTAGTGGTAGTAGAAAAGGAGTAACAGCTAATTAATGTTCCATACTATAACTCGTTGAACAAAAAACAGAAATTATTTAGTTAACACAGTTCAAGAAGTTATAGAATTCTCTTGGATAAAATTAAAAATCCAGATTAATAACTGAGATACTGCTTAACATAGCAAGCACTAAGTGTATAGATATATGAAAAATAAGGAGCAGTATAAGATTATCTTTTTAAAAATAATTTTAAGGTCGGCATTTTGCTTTTCAAGATTAAAATGGTTGGCTTTTTTAAATGACAGCATTTTCATAGAACTTACATCTGTCGTAAATGTTTTTTTATTTATTCATAGTCTCTCTGTATAGTATTGCTAGGTGCAACTTGTGATCCTTCAACTTCCTCAGTGGCTGGGATTATAGGTCACTACCCCCAACCATGTTTGGAGGAATGTTTAAAATCATAGTGGCATACAAATACATTGGTATGAAAATAGGTAGCAAATTGTATTGTTTAAGTAATTTACAAGCTACCCATGGTACTTTACATCAGCGTTTATGAGGGGAAAAAAAGATTGACAGTAATGCCAGTCTATTTTATAGCATGGAAACTAGGTGAGAGAGAGAGTGGAGAGATAATAAAATACACCTTGGGGCCAGGGATTTAGCTCAGTGGCACTGCGCCTAGATAGCAGGCTAAACTCAAGGTCCTGAGTTTGATCCCGGTACCAAAAAAAAAAAAAAAAAAAAAAAAAAATCATACTTTGTGCTGTTAATTTGAAGTAACACCTATCCAGATGGAGTATAAGATAAAGACTGCCCTGCCTGGGTCCCAGGATGTAGCTCAGTGGTGCTGCCTCCTACCTCAGATACAAGGCCGGGAGTTCAATCCCCTATCCCCAGTATCAAAAAAAAAAAGTGCCCTGTGTGGTGCATTACTGTAATCCGAGCCCTTAGGAGGCTGAGGCAGGAGGATCACTAGAAGTTCAAGGCGAGCCTGAACTATATAGTGAGACATTGGCACAGACAAAACAAAGAAGATAAGGATGGCGATTGAATGGAAAGAAAAAGATAGGTTATAAAATGGCTCTTTGAAACCTTATATAACAGAAACATAAAGGACAAGGTAATAATAATTCAGCATTTGTTGAGTAAAGCGTATATATTGAGAAAAGGGAGCCTCTGAATTGTTAGCGAAATATGAAGAATCTGAAAGAAATGTTGAAGGAATCTCCTGAGTTAACAGAATCATATATTGCTGGTTTGAAGATACAATACAGTTAGGTGAAGATAGAAAGCTCCCTTTAAGAACCTTTAGTTTACCCAGAGTGTGGTAAGTAGAGAGAATGGTGCTACTGTACTATTTCTTGAACATTTACTTTGTGCCAAACACTTTACATACATTAAACTTTATGAGAATTAGTATGTTTCACAGATAATTGGAACTGATAAAACTATTAGCATTTCATTATTCATATAGCCAAAAAGCAGAAATAACTCAAATAACCAAGGACTGATGAATGAATGAAAGCAATAAGAAACACAATACTGATAACATTTTATAAAATTGCTGAATCTTAAGAACATTATGCTAAGTAATAGAAGCCACAGAGGACCACGTTTTATGACTCTATTAATATGAAATGTACAGAATTAAATCAGAAAAAAAAAGTAGATTAAGTGGATGCTTATATCCAAAAGGGAGATTGAAGGAATGGTATTTCTTTTTGAAGTATTGAAGATATTTTCAGAATGATTGTGGTAATGTGAGGGATGTATGACTTTGTAAATATGGAAACCATTGAATTGTAAGCTTTAAGTGGGTGAATTGTATGGTATGAAAATTATATCTTGATAATGCTGTTAAAATAAACCTGGATAACAGCTATTGATATCTAGGAATTACACCCAGCTCCTTTTGACTGCAGAGTTCATGTTTGACCTGTCTATGGCTTCCCACTTTAAACTTTAGTGTAGGGTCTTATTGTATGATTGGTCTATTGTATTACCTTCCTAACCAGTCTCCTAACTGAGCCTCCAAACTCTTGCTTTTTCCTATTCCAGCCAATCCAGCAAATTGCTGCCAGAATAATTTTCCTATAATGGTACTGTGCTATGATCATGTGCTTCCTTTGCCTAAGGACCTGCAGACCTCCAATTGTCTAAAGTTAATTTTATTTTACTTTTGAATATCTGTAACCTGGCCTCAGTCTGCCTTGTTATTTTTACCTACTTTCTACCTTCATAATTCTGATTTTTCCGTCTTGTCCACATTGTTTATTCTTGAAATCTTTTGCCTCCATGGCTTATCACTGTCTAGATGCCTCACTTTTCCTGTTACTCACATACCCTAATTTTAGCCACCCTTCAAGTCTTAGCTTAAATGGATTAGCAGTTTCACAGTGGCTTCCCTTTTTTACCTAGCCTCTTAGGTTCTGTAGCACTGAATTTTCCCTTCTTAAATGGCACTTCTCACTACCGCCTGATGGGACTCTTAATAAGTTTCTTGAAGGAAGGTACATTGTTGTGTCTTACAAGGCTTTAAATTTCTAACAGACTCTAGGGCAGTGGTGGCAACCTGTGCTACTTGTTTTTCTTTTAAGACAAAAGATATTAATGTATGAATTGTTTTTTCTAAAATAAGGTTTAATTATAGTGTTGGCACTTTGCATAAATAAGTGGGTTTTGAGTTACAGTTTGGGCCCTGGCTCTAAAAGGTTCACATCACTACCCTAAGGAAATGTGATGGGGTAACAATGCTTTCTAAAAATAAATAACTCCGTTGTATAATTTTCTTCTATTTCTTGCTACCCTCATTTTTCAACATTATTGATTTTTTTTTTTTCTTGGTACCAGGGATCAAACTCAGGACTTCGTGCTTTCGAAGCGGGCAGCAGCAGAACTGAGCTAAACCCCCAGCCCTCAAGTGTTTTGAAAATATAAGCTTGCACAGATAATCATTTTTTTGTTTTGGTTTTGATCTTTTTGTGTCTTTTCACTCTGGTCACTTCCTATTTTAAATTTATTTTGTTAAGTGTTTTTTTATTTTTGGGTTTATTTATTTTTTTGTATTTTCAGATTTTTACAGTTATTCACTTGAGCTAGTGTGTATTTAATATCTACCTTATTCTTTGAGCTCCTATGTACACAAGTACTAAATACTAGATTATCACTGTGAAAAGTGTTTCAGCTATGGGAGTAGAGCAAGGAAGCTATGGGAGTAGAGCAAAGTATATGACTGATTATAAAGAGGGAACAAGAAAAAAAGGAGGAGGGACAGGGACAATTCCTTTTGGTTGAGTACAGAGTATTTGTTTCCAGGGATATGGGGGGTGGGTTACAGATGAAAATGTAGGTTGGAGCCAGTTACGAAGGGACCTGAGTGCTGTGCCAAGTAGCTGAGACATTCTAGGCAATGGGGAACCGTTAAAGATGATTTCTTCCGCTCCTTTTCAGATAGTATTCACCAGCATTTCTGGCACTCTATTAATACCATAAAGGAAGTGATTTTCTTGTTCCTATTTTGAAGGGAAATGACTCTTTAAAAATTAAGTATAATGAAATATGTTAATGTTAAATGTACAGCTGGATAGTTTTTTCTTTTTGAGGGAGAGAGAGAGAGAGGGTCTCACTATGTAGTTATGTAGTTTAGGTTGGCCTTAAACTGCCTGTGTAGCCCAGGCTGGCCTCATACTTGAGGTAATCCTCTTGCCTCAGCCTCCCAAGTGCTGGCATTACAGGAAGGCACCGCTACACCCAGCCAGTTTTCTATTTTCAGAACATCTCAGTTGAGACTAGCCACATTTCAGTTGCTCATTAGCCACTGTGCCTAGTTTCTATCAGCTAGGACAGTGTATATACGATAATATTTTGAAGATTATAATGAGGTGATTTCTGTTTGGTACTTCATGTCAACCTACTGTATCATAATTACTGTTAGCATTCATTTCTTAAGAGAAGGATACAAATAAATCTGATAAAATCAAGTAAAATGCCGGGAGTGGTGGCACAGGCCTGTAAATCCCAGCACTTGGGAGGCTGAGGCAGGAGGATCGCTGTGAGTTCAAGACCAGCCTGGGTTACATAGTGAGTTCTAGGTCAGTCTCGACTACATAGTGAGACCCTGTCTCAAAAAACAAACAAACAAACAAAAAATATAAAAGAAGCATAATGTTATAAATTAGGATAAAAAATTACACAGTTTTGTCAAATGCAGTTTAACATTGAGCTAGTTAAGAATCTTCCCAAAGGTTTTTTTACAAATTAATTTTATTTAAAAATTTCTTTATTTTTACTAGTCACATTTGCAAAACATGATCATATTTAGTGTAGGAAATTAGTACATGTACATAACAATTACTTTTCCTTCTATCCCTCTTTAAAAATTTTTTTGGCCAGCATCAGAATCATTTATTTCATAAGTCTTTATAAAATTAATTATCAGATATACAGATTAACAGTCAACTAACAGCCCAAAAATAGTATGCAACACATAAGACAATTGTACTAAATCAGAGTACACTTTTAGATATGTTGTCCATGCTGGATTACAATAACTTTTTTCACCTCTTTTTCTTATTGTCTTTTATTGTGTAGTTTCTTTTTTTTCTTTTTTTGGTTTTTTGAGACAGGGTCTCACTATGTAGTTAAGACTGACCTGGAACTCACTATGTAGCCCAGGCTGGTCTCGAACTCACAGCAATCCTCCTGCTTCAGCCTTCCAAGTGCTGGGACTACAGGTGTGCGCCGCCTCGCCTGGCCTGTGTAGTTTCTTTATATACTGGGTTTCTCATATAAGAGAAGCCATGCTTATTTAAGTTTGGGTGTCTGATTTACCTCACTTAATATCATGGTCTCAAGGTGCATCCATTTTTCTACAAATGACTCAAATTTATCCTTTATGGCATAGTAGTACTCTATTATGAATAAATACCACATTTTGTTTATCTATTCATCTGTCGATGGACATATAGGCTGCTTCCATGATTAAGCTATTATGAATTGTGTTGCTATAAACATGAATATGCATATGTCACTGTGGTATGATATCTTTAACTCTTGTCTTTTCAAAGATTTTTTGTTTTCATCTTGTCTATTGAGAATTTAAGTAAAATAGGAAAAACCAAATCAGATTATACTTTCAGAAATATTTTTCAGTATATGTTCATACACTTAAATATATTATCTCTTTCTTATGCTACTCTTATCTCAAAGTTAAAAATATAAGAAATATCCTGTGCCTGTACCAACTCCCCACAATATAATCATTGTGTACTACCAACATGTACCAATAAAAAATATTTAAAATTATAGTTTAAATGTACTGGTTAGATATTAAAGATAGATTTTTTATGCTTTTATGTAATTTAATAAATGTTCAAATTGGAATTTTCCTCCCCTACTTTGAACCTTCAGAGTAGTTTATTATATGTATGTTGACTGAGATTCCTAAATAATTTCTTTTCTTTTAAACAGAGATAAAAGCAACAGTATTTGATGACTGCAAGAAAGAAGGAGAATGGAAGGTATAATTTGCATACTTTACTCCTATGTTGAGGAGTTGAGTATATTGTTCTTAAGATGTTTCTATCTGGAAGCACACTGTTTGCCTTCAAATCCTAGGTTCACTTCTTTGACAAGTTACATGACCTTTTCTCTACCTGTTTCCTTGTCTATAAAATAGGGATAGTGAGCCGGGGATTTAGCTCATTGGTGCCGCCACTTGCTTCGCAAGCACAAGGTCTCCAGTTTGAACCCCAGTACCAAAAATAAATAAATAAAATAGGGATAGTAACAACTCCTATGATAGTAATAATTTAAGTCACGATTTATAATTTTAAGAAAATTTGATATCAAACATAAGGTATAGTTTAAATGGATAAGCTCTCTAATTCAAAATAGAAATTTTCTTTTTGCTTACTTAGATATAATACCATATTATATCCATTGAGAAAAATAAATCTCCAGATCATGCAAGCTAAAAGATGAGTGGAGATCATTTTGCCTACTGTCTTGATACTTTAATTTCATGTCATAAAAGAGTTAGAAATTTGAGTAGATTTAAGGGCCAATTGTCTTTTATGCATTCTTGACAATCGAATGCTTATACTGTTTCTTAATTTGTATTTGTTTTAAGATAATGCTTTTAGATGAATTTACTACTAAGCTTTTGGCATCATGTTGCAAAATGACAGATCTTCTAGAAGAGGGAATCACTGGTAAGTGTTACTAACTCTTCTTGTGGATACTTTTTTTATTCTGACTGGGAAAGTTTTGAAATACTAAGAAATTGCCAAGCATGGTGGTGCGTGTTTATAATCCCATCACTTGAGAGGCTGAGGCAGGAGGATCACCAAGAGCTCAAGGCCAGCCTGGGCTAGTGAGTTCAAAGACATCCTTAAATACATAGCAAGACATGTCTCAAAACCAACCAAACAAACAAAAAATTAGATAGTAGTTGTTGTCTTAGTCATTTTTGCTTCTCACTGTGACACGATACTTGTTGCCCACAATTTAAGAGAGATGTTTATTTTGGCTCACATTTTAGAGGGCTAACGCCAAGGCAGGAGAGCGTGGCAAAGGGTCATGGCAATAAGGAAATGAGAGAATCAAGGGAGAGGCTGGGAAGAGTGAGATACCCATCTAGGCCACACCCTCAGTAACCTGCCTCTTCGGGCCATGTGCCACCTTCTGATACCACATTTACATATAAATTTTTCAGTGGACTAATCCATCCATGAGCATGGTGCCCTATGAAACATTCACCTCCTAAAGCCTCGCCTGTGATCACATGGGGCTTTAGGGAACATGTAGATGTAAACCATAACAGTTGTGTTTTTAAGGTTTTGGGGTTTTTTGTTTTTGTTTTTGTTTTTGGTACCAGGACCTTGTACTGTGAGGCAGGCACAGTGCCACTGAGCTAAATCCCCAGCCCTAAGGTTGTTTTTTCTTATGGCTCTAGTTATAACACTTAGATTAAACATTCTTCTTTTCTCTGTAAATCTCCAGAAAAACTTTTATAAGTCAGATTTTTGCCTGTCTGAGATATAATTAAGGGCCCCTAGCCAAGATTAAGTCAACTGTTTTGATGAGGTTCTTCTTTAATTTTTTTACTATTACATATTTAACAGTTTGGTATATTGATATTTTAATCTCAATGTTTTGATTGATCTTTGCGGTTCTTTCCCTTTTCCTTCTTGTGTGTGTCTATGTGTGTAGTTTTGGCAGTCAAATCCAGGGCCTCACACATTGTGGACAAGTGCTCTACAACTTATGGTTAAACGTCTAGCCATTGTGGTTTTCTTTTGTTGTTTCTAAATGAATATTAAGGTTAAAATCAACATTTGTAGGCTGTGGATGTAGCTCAGTGGCACAGCTCCTGCCTGGCAAGTGTGAGGCCCTAATTTCCAGTACCTCCCTGCCCCCCACCTCAGAAAAAGAACAGATTCTGAAAAAAAAAATGATGATGCTATAAGAAGTTGGAGGTTGTTCTCTTTTAGGACTTGAAATACCTCACTCCAGGCTCTCCTTGACTTGAGGATTTGTGTTGAAAAGTCTCCTGTGATTCTGATGGGCTTTACTTTGTATGTGATTTGTTTCTTTTCTCTTACTGCTTGTAGTATTTTGTTCCTCTGTTGGGTTTCTAGGATCTTGACTATTACATAGATAGGTATAGATTTTTTTTTTTTCTTTTTTTTTGGTCATGGCTAGTTGGGGTCCTGTGTGCCTCACTTATCTGTACGTCAAATTCTTTAGCTCTGTTTGGGAAGTTTTCTGTCATTAATTCTGTGAACAGTTTTTTTTTAATGTCATTTGTACTTTCTCCTGTTTTTTCATGGACACTTATCAGTCTTCTGTTATTCTTCTTTGCCTCATCTAGGAGCTGCTGGATCAGTTTCTCATGGTTCCTTACTTTTTTTTTTTTTTTTTTTGGCACCAGGGATTGAACTTGTGCTTGCAAGGCAGGCCACCAAACCGCTGAGCTAAATCCCCGGCCCTCCCTTACTATTTTTAAGAGCTCTCTCTTTTCACAGACACTGACAGCCGTCCTGTCTTCCATATCTAATATTCTGTCTTCACATTAGCTCATTCTCTTGTGAATACCTTTACTAGCGTTTTTAATCTACTGGATATATGAATCTGTTTCATGAATTCTTTTTTTTTTTTTTTTTTTTTTTTTTTTTTTTT